ATTCCCAGCAGTGATATTTTAATAATCATCCTGGATGCATACCTCTCTCTCAATATATCAGGTTATTGCCTCTGGAATTGTAGAACGAGTTTGTGGCAGTTTTATGCTTCAGAGATTAATTTTTAAGTCAAAGACATAATCTGAGCAGAAAAATGAATGCTTTTCTTTCTTTCTCCCCCCCCCCCCCAGTAAAGGTCCAAGAAGAAATTGCAAAGGTTGTTGGATCTTCTCAGCCAAGGATTGAACACCGAACAAAAATGCCTTATACGGATGCCGTGGTCCATGAGATCCAGAGGTTTGCCAATATTGTCCCAACCAACCTGCCACATGCCACGGCTACAGATGTTACCCTGAATGGCTACTTCATTCCAAAGGTGATCCTTTTCATTGAACTGCTGCCTACTAGTTACAATATATTTTAAGGCTTTCCTGTGAGTAAGCCCCTTGGACTTCAGTGTGGGTGACATCTGTGCAGACTTGTATAGGATTGCACTGTAAGCTTTCAATCTACCCTTCGGAAGGTGTCAGGCATCAGCTTCAACCCATTAAACAGATCTCAGTGGGAAGGAGCACAAGGTTGGAAAAGAAACCATTTCTAGTGGGAGATCATGGTTTATACATTAAAGTTTGTCAAACTAAAGACATTTCTCAGATGAACACAAATCTCATTTCTCCTTCACTAAATATTTATTGTACCAGAGGCATACACTTTATTTTAAAATGACTCTTGCTTTGCCTTTGCAGGGGACTCACATCATACCACTGCTGTCCTCTGTGCTGCATGATGAATCTCAGTGGGAGAAACCACATAAATTCTATCCTGAACATTTTCTTAACTCTGAAGGGAAATTCGTAAAGAGAGATGCTTTCATGCCTTTCTCTGCAGGTAACTTTTTTTTTAACTTTGTGTATATCTGCATAGTGTGTGCTTAGTCAATGGGATTTTTACATGCCTGGAATGTAGCCTATTGTGCAAAGGTAAGAATCACATCACTTGCTGTGGCCATTTCTGCCACTAGATCTGGCCACCATTGGTGTGCGGCCCCTGGAATGTTACTCACCAGGGAATGTGCCCCACAGGCTGAAAAGACACCCCCCCCCCATTTTTCAGCACTGCAGGATGGCTCGTATTGGGAGTTCATAATTCTTTTAAGATGGGCACAGTGAGCTGTTATTTTATCTCTGCATTTTAGTCTGCTTTAAAGTATTTGGGATGTTAGTAAGCAACTGCTAAAGCCAGTTTCTCTGCTGCCTATGTTTCCATACAGGTCGGAGAGCATGTTTAGGTGAGACTCTTGCCAAAACGGAGCTCTTCCTCTTCTTCACAAGTCTCCTGCAGGGATTCACCTTCCAGCCACCCCAGGAACATCTCAGGAAGACCTAGACCTTACTCCTGCTGTTGGGCTTACAACATCACCCATGCCCCACCAGCTCTGTGCTCTGCCACGTTTCTAAGACTCACAAGCTCCTGGCTTGCTTAGCCTACCTGTGTGTGCAATGTGAGCCTTTCTTAAAACACCCCTGTTCTGCAAGGGTATTTGGGTTGAGTAGCCTAGTGGTGGAATTGGTGCATGCTTTGTCACAAACCTGAAGTGTTCCCCTTTACCTGCCATACTGCCAAATCCCGTGAAACTAGCATTGGAGCATCTCTTAAATAAAACCTGGCCCTGAGTTCTTATGGCACTTGGGGCATAGAGATCAATCAACAAATCTGGTTGCATGTATTCCCATGTTAACATATACTTTCAAAGATCTTGAAGCATCATATTCTCAGGTAGATGTGCAGAGAATTGTGATCAAGACGAAAAAGGGTCTGGAAACCATGCCTTATGAGGAATGGTTGAGGAAGTTGGGTATGTTAGCTTCTGTGGCTGCAATGTATTCTGATCTGTATTTGTTGATGTCAGGCAATGGCTTTGTTTCCTCCGGGTTCTTTAAAAAGTCTGTAATAATAGATCTGGCAACTGGGTTTGCTTCTGGCATCTCCATGCTGCCAATTAATTCTGTGACTTTCTGCTTCTGGCTTAGAACAAGGACATCCACCTCCCACGAGACTGCGATCTACTCACGGGGGGGGGGGGGGGACTGGAAGCCAAAATTGTTCAGCTTCTTTTAGAGAGGAAACTTCCATTTTAGGGGTTAAGGCCAAGCTTGTTGAGCCTTTTTTATGGAGAAAATCTCCGTTATTAAGGGGGAAATGCCAGACTACAGTAAAGGGGAGAGGGAATTAGTCATTCACCAAAAGATCGTTATGGAAATAATAACAGCGAAAACTCCGTCTTCTGTTCCAGCGATCAGCTGAAAATGGTGGGCGGGGAGAGGGAAAGGGCCAGCTGCTCTGAGGCAAAAACAAAGGAAAAGGAGCCAGGAATCGACCAGAACCTCCCGGGTATCGATCAACCAATCCCAATCAACCTGTTGGTTATCCCTGGAATAAAACTACCATCTTCTCTCTGTATCTGAATGAACTTTCTCTGAGAGTCTGGCTTAGCTTAAGGCTTTCCTCATCAATGGAATTCTGACTGGTCATATGAAAAATGAAAATGGTGGAAATGTGTCCAATTCAAAATCAAAATTTCAATCTCCACAAGAGGAAAAACTCAAAACCTTCTCCGCCTAGCTTCTGCTCTGAGAGGGAAGAGGGAACTAATCCCTTTCACACTGGAGTCAGTGGAAGTCAGAAAAAATGTCTGGTTTGAATCTCTCTTCTCTCTTAAGAAACTCCAGCCACACCCACTATAATACTTTGAATTTTGTCTTCACTTGGCCCCATAACCTTTGTAGGAATGGATTTAGGCACTATGAGAGGATGTATGGTTTAGTTATTGTCCTTCCTTGTTCACATTCTTGCATGTCATATGCTCTAATGTATACAAAGATATACCCTAATGCCACCCTGTTCAACAGTTTCAAGATGAAAATGAATAAAAACTATGCTAAAAAGAAAAATATGTGTGAGTGTTTCAATGGGAGAAAGCTCAGGAAATACTGGACACAATGCCGTCGTACCTAATTACAGTAAAGTGGAATAATTTCATCTGCAGATGATTTCACAATGCTGCTCTCTACTCCCAATCTAACAAACTAAGTTTACAGATAATCCTGGGTGATGACTTCACCATCTTCAAGAGCATTTGAATCTGTTCTGGAAAGCATTAGTTTCTGCAAAACTTGAATAAACATTAAACTGAAAGGCAAATAATCCATTGTACAGCTCTGAATAGTTGTGGAGAAGAAGAAAAATCAGAGGGATTGTTTAATGATTTGCTAGAAACATTATGTAACATAATATACTGGCTGCTCAGTTGGTAGACACTGTTGTTGACCAAACTGCACTGTAGTTTTGTTGTTTTCGAAGAAGTCTTTTAGACCAGTGTTTCCCAACCTTTTTTGGGCAAAGGCACACTTGTTTCATGAAAAAAATCTCGAGGCACTCCACCATTACAGCCCCGTGACGTCAGCGCGCAGCATCATGCCGGGAGGGACGCACGAAAGTGTAAGTTTCAATTTCCCCCCCTCCCCCTTGCCTTCCTTCTGTGCCAACCGCCAAAAAAGCCAAGAATCGCGGGACCGCCGGCAGAGGGGGGGAGGGCGAGCGGAGGCAGCGGCGAGCCCCGTTCCTCCCCATCCGCCCCATTCCGTGCAAGGAGCGCGAACAGGTGTGAGAAGGGGGTCAAACCTGCGGGTCGGCGCCAGGGAACCTCCAAGCTTTGGGGGGGGAGGAGGCAGTAAAGCGAGGCAGGAAGGAGAGCGCGGCTTGGCTGGGTGAGCTTTGGCAGGGGCAGGGAATGAGAGCCGCGAGGCGGGCGCTGCGGACGGAGGCGCTGCCCGCCGAGCTCGCAGGCAGCCAGGCAGGCAGACGGCGAGAGCCCCGCGCTGGGCGGCCTCTCCTCGCCGCCGCCGCCCCGCCTCTCGCCGCCCGACTCGCCCGCCTCCCTCCAGGCAACATCTCGCGGCACACTAGTGTGCCGCGGAACACCGGTTGGGAAACACTGTTTTAGACAGTGTTAGCCTTTGGGTTGTCAGGTTTTTATATGGAGGTTTTTGCTTTTTTTCTGTTTGGCTCCGGAGGCCTCCAAGTCTTGGAGCTCCGCTCAGGGGTGGAGCAAGGAGGTGCAGTGAGGGCGGGCCACACCGGGTGACATCCCGAGGGAGAGTGACACTCTGCATGCGTATCCCCACCTGCGACTCCCAAGCCTACATCTGTCATGGCCGCTGGCAAAGTGGCAAAGCTCCCCCTTCCCCCGGCTCACTGTAGGCTTGGGAGTCATGGGCGGGTTGCCCCGTCATCCAGGAAAAAGCCTTGCTCCACAGATCGCCCGCTTGCCCGCTTGGTGCTTCGCTTCCTTCCTGCTTGGGCTGCGAGGGGCGGGCCAGGGAGGGGCATCGGTGGGCCATGAGAAGCACCCCCTCCCATCCACCCGCCAGCTGGTGGCCGGACTCCCTCCTTCCCTCGCCCCTTCCTGACTCTTCTGCATGCACGGAGCAAGAGCAACCCCCTCGCGCCTGTAAAACAGGCTCTCTCTAACATTCCAGAGAAACCAAAAAGAAAAGTCACTGTTTTGAGCTCGTCTCTTTTATGGATACAACGATTAGTTATGGCTACAACCATTGGGGATTGCACCAGCAGGGTAGAAAAACGCATTTTCAATGCTTTGTTCTGATGCGTGGCCTCGCCTTTAATGAAATAATGCGCCCCCCTCCCAGCCATGGTGGCGGTGCGGGGACCAGCCAGGCAGCGCCATTGGTGCTTGTGGTCCTCAGGAGCTCCATGCTGCTGTGGCGCTTGCCATCTTGCCTCTCCAGAAGTCCATACTGGTGCACTTTCAGAAATCCATCCCTGAATGCAGTTCAATGATTACTCCAAAGAATTTCACAATGCTGCCCTTTACTCCCATTATAACAGATTAATTTTACACAAAATCTAGGAGACAGGTCTGCAGCCAGGTTCAAGAGAGCTTAATAATGGTTTAATGATTAGCTCGAGACAGTACCTAACATAATATATATGCTGCTCACTGCAGTTGCAGGACATTGTCCTCAACCAAACTGCACTGTAGCTTTCATTATAACCACTGCAAAACAAATTGCTTGCTGAAACAAAATGGATTGGACGGAGCCGATTCCAGTGTTGTTCCTCTTTATCCTTATGATTTCCTTTGTTTTGAAACTGGGCACTTTCTGGAACAAGAGCTGCCAAAATCTTCCACCAGGACCAAGGCCTTTACCTCTCATTGGGAATCTCCACATCATGGATCGCAAGAGGCCTTACAGAACCATGTTAAAGGTAAAGCTTCCAGTGCTTCTCATGGCAAGGCTAAAGGAAACTGGGGCAGCCCAGTCAGATGAGCGGAGTAGAAAATTAGTATTATTATTATTATTCTTAATATCAATAATAGAATACATTTTGTTCTTTTAGAGCCTATAAATCTCATCTCCCTTTGTGTGCTACAGAACCGCCTCCCAATAATAGGACCTATTTGCAATTTATAACTGGTAATTTGAACAAGGTGTCTGAGGGTGTCTGGTGTCGAATCCCGTTTGACTCTGCCTCCATTTTCAAGGATGCAAAAGTGCCAATACAAACCTTGCCTAGCCCAGCCTCCTCCTTCAGCTTTCTAAACTAGGTTTGAGAGGTGCCAGTGTAGCTGCCACATTCTGGATTTGTTTCAGTTTCCGGGTCACCTTCAAAAGTAGTCCCACATAGAGCACATTGCAGTAGTACAAGCAGGGGATAACTAGAGCATGCACCACTCTGGCAAGACAGTCTGCTGGCAGATAGGGTCTCAGCCTGCGTACCAGACAGCTGCGTTGACACAGAATTGACCTACGCCTCCATGGACAGTCCAAAATGACTCCCAGGCTGCACACCTGGTCCTTCAGGGGCACAGTTACCCCATTCAGGACGAGGAGTCCTCCACACCTGCCTGCCTCCTCCCCCCAATACAGTACTTCTGTCTTGTCAGGATTCAACCTCCATCTGTCATCCACCATCCATCTTCCAACCGCCCCCCGACACTCACACAGGACCTTCACCGCCTTCAATGGTTTTTATTTAAAAGAGAGGTAGAGCTGGTTATTATCCGCATACCCCACAAGTGAGAGCCCAGGGGCCTGAACACTTATCCCCCAACACCACTTTCTGGACACGGCCCAGGAGAAAGGAGCGGAACCACCGTATAACAGTTCCCCCAGATCCCAGCCCCTCTAGACGGTCCAGAAGTATGTCATGGTCAATGGTATCAAAGGCCACTGAGAAATCCAGCAGAACTAGGAAACAGCTTTCACCTTTGTCCTTAGCCGTCTGGAGATAATCGAGCAGCACAGCCAAGGCAGTTTCAGTTTCATGATGAGGCTTGAATCCCAAATGGAAGGGATCCAAATGGTCTGCATCCTCTAGACGTTCCTGGAGTTGTTCAGCAACCACCCGCTCAATGACCTTGTCCAAGAATGGAAGATTTGAGACTGTGTGGTAGTGAATGCAGTCTTGGTTTTGTCAGAGAGGATTTGCATTAATATATTCTTTGGGTATGCCAGAACTCTGTTTCTCAATTTTTCTTCTGTTGAATTCCAGTTGTCAAAGCAGTATGGCCCTGTCTTCAGCATCCAAATGGGACCCCAGAAAACTGTGGTGTTGACAGGATATGAGACAGTAAAGGAGGCTCTGGTTAATCAGGCGGACGCATTTGCTGACAGGCCCATCATTCCAATGTTTCAAGAGCTTGCACAAGGCTTTGGTGAGGCACTTCCCTTTTTATTGGAACATGTAATGCTTGCAGACACACACTGGGCCCACCAGGTGAACACAATCTGTTCCCAAGAAATGGTTTGTAATATGAGCATTTGCAAAGCAAGTCAACAACATCCATTGTTTCCTGTGAGGGAAATCCTTGCTGCCCAGGAGGACTCCCCTGAGTGAGTGCTTGAGGGCCCTGCTCTTGCCACTTACCACCTGGCCCAGGGCGGGGCCTGAAGCCTCATAAGGACTGCGTGCTGCTTGCTGCCTGCTGCCCAGGAGGACTCCCCTGAGTGAGTGCCTAAGGGCCCTGCTCCTTCCTGCCACTTACCACCTGGCCCAGGGTGAGGCCTGACAGGCCTCACTAGGACAGTTGTTACTGCCGGAGGGGCACAGAGTGTTTTTAAAATGTTTTTTAAAAAATTCTTTGGATTTTTGTATGTGGGGGGTGGGGGTGGGATGGATGTTTGGTTGGGTTTGGGGAATTATTATTTTTTTATTTTGATGCTTTTTGTAATTTTTACAATTTTTTTGTTTGTATTGTTTTATTGGTTTGTTTGTTTGTTTAAGGTGTTATTTTGTTCTTCGGGGGAGGGGTCAGGGCTGCACTGGGACAACTGATCTCAGTGATCACGGGTAGGAGGAGGAGTTACGCTAAGACCAGACCATGTCATTACAGAGGAGGCAGGTTTAGTCGTTGTCTGAGGACTATTCCTGCCTCCGGGTCTGGTCCTGACCGGATGGATACTAGAATCAGCAAGGGATACCCACATGACCTGAAGGTGCTGCTGTGCAATGCCAGGTCAATGATTCATAAGACCACTGCCATCCATGACGTGATCGTGGATGGAGGACTTGACCTGGCATGTGTAACAGAGGCTTGGTTGGATGAAGCAGATGGGCCTGTCCTTGCCGCTGCTTGTCCACCAGGTTTCTCTTACGCACAGCAACCCAGGTCATGTGGGCGGGGAGGGGGGGTTGCAGTGATTTTTAGGAAGTCATTAGTTTGCACCAGGCGTCCTATTGGGAACACCCAGTTTTCTGAGTGCATGTTCTGGAAGTTGGGCAATAGGGGCAGTACAGGATTCCTTTTGGTGTACCGACCTCCCCGCTGCACCAAGGATTCCCTGCCCGAGCTGCTTCAGGTCATGGCGGATGTCCTAGGGGATTTTAACATCCATGCTGACACGACCTTACAAGGGGCCGCTCGGGACTTCGTGGAAAGCATGGCCTCCATGGGGCTGTCCCTGAATAAGTCTGGCCCAACCCATAGCCGTGGACATGCCTTGGACCTGGTGTTTACCTCTATGGATGTCGGTGATCTGACACTAAGTAAAAGTGAAACAAAAGAAGATCAGATCACTTCCTGGTGCAACTGGACTTCTCCACGACCCTTCCCCTCTGCAGGGAGGTGGGACCTATTCGGTTGGTCCGCCCCCGCCACTTAATGGATCCAAATGGTTTCCAGAGAGTGGTAGGGGATGCTTTATCCCATGTTGATGGCCTTTCAGCTGATTCCCTGGTGGCCCGCTGGAATGTCGAGTTAACAAGGGCTATTGACTGTTTGGCTCCGAAGCGCCCTCTCCGATTGCATGGAGCCCGGACAGCCCCGTGGTTTTCCACGGATCTGAGGGCAATGAAACAATCGTTGAGACGGCTAGAGCGCCGGTGGCGGATAACTCATTCCGAATCTGACCGGACACAGGTTAGAGCTCAACGTCAAGCCTACCAAGTGGCGATAGCGACGGCGAAGAAGAATTTCTTCACCGCCTCTATTGCATCTGCAGAAAACAGCAGCAGGAGACTTTTTCAGGTGGTTCACAATTTAGAGGAACCACCTGCAACATCGGGGCCCAGTACGGGCCACATGTTCTCCTGCAATGATTTTGCAAAGTTTTTTGCAGATAAAATCGCTCAGATTCGGGAAGAAGTAGACTCCACCGTGGGAGCAGGACCGGGGCGGGAGAGTGCTAGAGTTCTGTCTAGTCAAGTTGAGTGGGATCAATACCAATCTGTTACCTCCGAGGATGTGGACAGTCTGCTTGGACGAGTGAAACCAACCACCTGTCTCCTGGATCCTTGCCCATCCTGGCTTATAAAAGCAAGCCGGGAAGGACTGGGCGATGGGCTTCGTGGGGTGGTGAATGCCTCCCTCCGTGAGGGAGCCTTCCCAGACCCGTTGAAAGAGGCGGTTATTAAACCGCTTCTTAAAAAACCATCTTTAGATGCGGCCACGATGGCCAACTATCGCCCAGTCTCAAATCTTCCATTCCTGGGCAAGGTGATTGAGCGAGCGGTTGCCGAACAACTCCAGGCACGCCTGGAAGAAGCGGACCATTTGGATCCCTTCCAGTCGGGATTCAGGCCTCATCATGGGACTGAAACTGCCTTGGTCGCACTGGTTGATGATCTCCGGCGGGCTAGGGACAAAGGTGAGAGCTGTTTCCTAGTTCTGCTGGATCTCTCAGTGGCGTTTGATACCATCGACCATAGCATCCTTCTGGACCGTCCAGAGGGGCTTGGAGCTGGGGGCACTGTTATACAGTGGTTTCGCTCCTTCCTCCTGGGCCGTGTTCAGAAAGTGGTGGTGGGGGATGAGTGTTCAGACCCCTGGGCTCTCACTTGTCGGGTGCCTCAGGGTTCTGTCCTCTCCCCCATGCTTTTCAACATTTACATGCAGCCGCTGGGAGAGATCATCAGGAGGTTTGGGCTGGGTGTTCATCAGTATGCGGATGATACCCAGCTCTACCTCTCTTTTAATCAGAACCAGTGAAGGCGGTGAAGGTCCTGCGTGAGTGTCTAGAGGCAGTTGGAGGATGGATGGCGGCTAACAGATTGAGGTTGAATCCTGACAAGACAGAGGTACTGTTTTTGGGGGACAGGAGGCGGGCAGGTGTGGAGGATTCCCTGGTCTTGAATGGGGTAACTGTGCCCCTGAAGGACCAGGTGCGCAGCCTGGGAGTCATTTTGGACTCACAGCTGTCCATGGAGGCACAGGTCAAATCTGTGTACAGGGCAGCTGTTTACCAGCTCCATCTGGTACGTAGGCTGAGACCCTATCTGCCTGCGGACTGTCTCGCCAGAGTGGTGCATGCTCTGGTTATCTCCCGCTTGGACTACTGCAATGCACTCTACGTGGGGCTACCTTTGAAGGTGACTCGGAAACTACAACTAATCCAGAATGCGGCAGCTAGACTGGTGACTGGGGGCGGCCGCCGAGAGCATATAACACCGGTCTTGAAAGACCTACATTGGCTCCCAGTACGTTTCCGAGCACAATTCAAAGTGTTGGTGCTGACCTTTAAAGCCCTAAACGGTCTCGGTCCAGTATACCTGAAGGAGCGTCTCCACCCCTATCGTTCTGCCCGGACGCTGAGGTCCAGCATCGAGGGCCTTCTGGCGGTTCCCTCATTGCGAGAAGCAAAGCTACAGGGAACCAGGCAGAGGGCCTTCTCGGTAGTGGCGCCCGCCCTGTGGAACGCCCTTCCAGCAGATGTCAAAGCGATAAACAACTACCTGACATTCAGAAGACATCTTAAGGCAGCCCTGTTCAGGGAAGTTTTTAACGTGTGATATTTTACTGTATTTTTGGTTTTTATGGAAGCCGCCCAGAGTGGCTGGGGAGGCCCAGCCAGATGGGTGGGGTATAAATAATAAATTATTATTATTATATTATTATTGTGAATTTTTCAACCCACCTCAGTGCTTTTGACACTGATAGTGTATCTGAATACATTAGGCTGAGAATGTGTCACAAAAAGTGTCACTTGTGGATTTCTGCAGATCAAGCTAAAATGTTAAAAAGAGTGGACCAGGTCAGCCTTTTTTTTTGGTCTTGACTTTCAGTGGATAAGTGGTGCTCTGTTGAAGAAACAAAAATGGAGACCAGTTAAAGCAAACCTTTCCCATTCCCACCTTCTTCCCAACAGTCATATTGTAGAGGAGGGGGAGAATGAGACAGGAGGATTGTGAATAATAGTCACATGGAAAAGTAATGCCACACACCAAGGGGAAACTGACTGACCATTTTCTGCCCCAGCCTATATAGAGAAGAAAAATGAAGGAGGCATAATGGAATACAAAATAAGAAGCTGAGTTCTGCTGGGACGCCTGACATGTAAAAACCACTCTCCACTCTAGCCTACACTTTATAATGGAAAATATTGATCAATGGGTTCTCAGGTCTTGCTCTGATGGCACAGCTGCCAGCTACTTTGTCAAAGCTCAGAAGTCTGAGTCTGAATGGGAGAATAGCTGGGATCCATTCTCAGTTCCATGGAAGAAATGCAGAACACAATTTGTTGATATTTTTGTACAATGGCCATGCAGACATGAAACCTTTCCTCCCTCCTCTTTCCTCAGGTGTAGTTTTTTCTAATGGTGAAAACTGGAAAGTGATGCGGCGGTTTGCTTTAAGCACATTACGGGACTACGGAATGGGAAAGAGGACCATAGAGGACAGAATTGTTGAGGAATGCAGTGTCCTGATAAAGAAATTTGAATCTTACGAAGGTGGGTTGGTGTTTTCCTCTGGTGCATAGCTACATTAGCATAGTTTAAAGGTGCCAAGACTATTGTGTTACATATTCCTAACTTCCAGAAGCACAGATCCCAGGGTTCCCTGCAATTGGTCGGTCCCTGTAAAGTGCAGATTGCACTGCAATAACTCCTGTGACTTCCAAGCATTTCTTAGCCCAGCTATGGCAACATCTGGGGGAAACAGGAAAAAGGAAGTTTTCTCCTGGCTGGTAGAAAGCATCCCATAGCATGTCCTTTCTAGGAATGTTGTACTTGACTCCTATGTGTTTTACATCCCACATTTTTAAAAGAGTATTTTTGTTTAACAGTCATATTTATGTATAGGAAACCCATTTGAGACCACCACAATTATGAATGCAGCTGTTGCCAATATAATAGTGGCCCTACTACTAGACAAGAGATTTGATTATGAAGATCCCACATACATAAGACTTCTGAAGTTGGTCAATGAAAATATCCGGCTCGCCGTAAGCTTTTCAGTCACGGTAATCTATTTTTTACAATTAAAACAAACAAATAGTTGATTATAATAACAGTGTATGCAAAGTGGGCAGGGCTACCTGTTTATTGTATATTGTTCAGGGTTCACTACAAAACACAGAATATTGATATCTTGAGAAACCTGGTGCTAATTCAAAATATTCAGAAAACTCACACGGTACAGTCATCCCGTAACTATAATAAAGTCTCTTTTGCACACACACTTTCTGGCCTCACTGCCATCGGGACTCCAAGGACAAGGAAGAACAAGTGACAGTTGGTTCCATGATGGCTCAGGAGGGGCCTCCAAGGGCAGATCTCCCTCTCTGAAGGCGAACCTCCAGAGGAGAACTGCCATAGTCTACTATTCTGGGCTTGCACATAAATTATGCTCTGAGAGACCCAGCTGAGAGTACAATACTGAGTTTTCCTAATGTCTCTTTTTCCTTTTTCACATTTTTATCCTTTCAGCTGTATAACATGTTTCCTGCTCTTGGTTTTCTTCTGGGGGCTTGTAAGACTATCAAGCAAAACAGAGATGAGCTGTTTGCCTTCATAAATGCCACCTTCATAAAACACCTCAGAGATCTGGATGAAAATGACCAGAGGAGCTTTATTGACTCATTTCTTATCCAACAGCAAGAGGTAATGGAGTCTTTTAAGTTGGCCCAGAATAAGCGTTGCCATTTTCAATTCATGTTTTAAGGGCATATTCGCAAGTGAATGCATAAGTTGTAGTCAGGAAGTCTCACTTCAGAAGGGACCAACCTGGCATACTTCCTACCATTTCCCAATAGTCAGCCGTTGTTAATGTGTTACAGAAGTTGCCTCTGCAGGGTCAAAGGTTGCATGCTCAACAGCATTTCTGGGAAAAAAATCCCTGATCAAGAAAACATGTAATTATAGATAATTATGCAGTGATGAGAGGTAATCAAGTCATAAATATCGGAGCATCGTTCCGAAGCCGGGCGGCGGGGGCAGGTGTTCCCTCCCCGCCGCCGGGCTTCGGAGCATCGTTCCGAAGCCCGGCGGCGGTGGGAGGAGGCGTTCCCGACCCACCGCCCGGCTTCGGAGGAGGTCCGAGGACAGTAGGGAAGACGCGCTGCGCTTCCCCGCTGTCCCGGATATTTCCATATGGGCTGTCGTCTTGCGAAGCAAGCCCATAGGGAAATTCGTCTTGCGAAGCGCCTCCAAAACGGAAAACCCATTCGTCTAGCGGGTTTTCCGTCTTGCGAGGCGTTCGTCTTGCGAGGTACCACTGTAATTTGTCCTGCTGACCCCTCCAGGGGATGAGGGGGCTGTATCACCCACAGATCGTCTGATATCTGTCGCCCACAACAAGATGTGGGGGCAGAGGACGCTGGGTGCTGGAGCCTGGCACAGAAGAACTTTCTGGATTCAATCTCTCGAGCAGGGACACCTGTTTTTAAAAATTACTAAGATTCAGACCAAAAACCGGCGTTTCCTGGATGGAGGAAATGAAAGAAAAATCTGCTAAATTATACAGTCGCTTGGGCTGAAGTGGCTTGGGCTGAAGAATCATAGAATCATAGAATCATAGAGTTGGAAGAGACCACAAGGGCCATCGAGTCCAACCCCCTGCCAAGCAGGAAACACCATCAGAGCACTCCTGACATATGGTTGTCAAGCCTCTGCTTAAAGACCTCCAAAGAAGGAGACTCCACCACACTCCTTGGCAGCAAATTCCACTGTCGAACAGCTCTTACTGTCAGGAAGTTCTTCCTAATGTTTAGGTGGAATCTTCTTTCTTGTAGTTTGGATCCATTGCTCCGTGTCCGCTTCTCTGGAGCAGCAGAAAACAACCTTTCTCCCTCCTCTATGTGACATCCTTTTATATATTTGAACATGGCTATCATATCACCCCTTAACCTCCTCTTCTCCAGGCTAAACATGCCCAGCTCCCTTAGCCGTTCCTCATAAGGCATCGTTTCCAGGCCTTTGATCATTTTGGTTGCTGCTCCAGAGAAGCGGACACGGAGCAATGGATCCAAACTACAAGAAAGAAGATTCCACCTAAACATTAGGAAGAACTTCCTGACAGTAAGAGCTGTTCGACAGTGGAATTTGCTGCCAAGGAGTGTGGTGGAGTCTCCTTCTTTGGAGGTCTTTAAGCAGAGGCTTGACAACCATATGTCAGGAGTGCTCTGATGGTGTTTCCTGCTTGGCAGGGGGTTGGACTCGATGGCCCTTGTGGTCTCTTCCAACTCTATGATTCTATGATTCTATGATTCTATGATTCTCCTCTGGACACGTTCCAGTTTGTCAGTGTCCTTCTTGAATTGTAGTGCCCAGAACTGGACACAGTACTCCAGGTGAGGTCTGACCAGAGCAGAATACAGTGGCACTATTACTTCCCTTGATCTAGATGCTATACTCCTATTGATGCAGCCCAGAATTGCATTGGCTTTTTTAGCTGCCGCGTCACACTGTTGGCTCAACAGTGTGGTCAAGTTTGTGGTCAACCAAGACTCCTAGATCCTTTTCACATGTACTGCTCTCAAGCCAGGTGTCCCCCATTTTGTATTTGTGCCTCTCATTTTTTTTGCCCAAGTGCAATACTTTACATTTCTCCCTGTTAAAATTCATCTTGTTTGTTTTGGCCCAGTTCTCTAAACTGTCAAGGTCATTTTGAAGTGTGATCCTGTCCTCTGGGGTGTTAGCCACCCCTCCCAGTTTGGTGTCATCTGCAAATTTGATCAGGATGCCCTTGAGTCCATCATCCAAGTCGTTGATAAAGATGTTGAATAAGACCGGGCCCAAGACAGAACCCTGTGGCACCCCACTAGTCACTCTTCTCCAGGATGAAGAGGAACCATTGATGAGCACCCTTTGGGTTCTGTCAGTCAGCCAGTTACAAATCCACTGAGTGGTAGCATAGTCAAGACCGCATTTTACCAGCTTCTTTACAAGAATATCATGGGGCACCTTGTCAAATGCCTTGCTGAAATCAAGGTAGGCTACATCCACTGCGTTCCCTTCATCTACCAGGCTTGTAATTCTGTCAAAAAACGAGATCAGGTTAGTCTGACATGACTTATTTTTCAGAAATCCATGCTGACTGTTGGTGATCACAGCATTCCTTTCTAGGTGCTCACAGACTGTTTTCTTAATGATCTGCTCCAGAATCTTCCCTGGTATTGATGTCAGACTGACTGGGCGGTAATTATTTGGGTCCTCTCTTTTCCCCTTTTTGAAAATAGGGACAACATTTGCCCTCCTCCAATCTGCCGGGACTTCGCCTGTTCTCCAGGAATTCTCAAAGATGACTGCCAGTGGTTCTGAGATCACATCTGCCAGTTCTTTTAATACTCTTGGATGCAGTTCATCTGGCCCTGGAGACTTGAATACATCTAAACTAGCCAAGTATTCTTGTACTATCTCCTTAGTTATTCTGGGCTGTGTTTCCTTTGCTGAATCATTTGCTCCAAATTCTTCAGGTTGGGCATTGTTTTCTTTATCGGAGAAGACTGAGGCAAAGAAGGCATTGAGGAGTTCAGCCCTTTCTGTGTCCCCTGTTTGCATTTCACCATCTTCTCCTCTGAGTGACCCCACTGTTTCTTTGTTCTTCCTTTTGCTACGGACATACCCATAAAAGCCTTTTTTGTTGCTTTTAACCTCTCTAGCAAGCCTGAGTTCATTCTGTGCTTTAGCTTTTCTGACTTTGTGTCTACACGTGCTGGCTATTTGTTTGAATTCCTCTTTGGTGGTTTCCCCCCTTTTCCATTTTTTGTACACATCCTTTTTTAATCTTAACTCAGTTAAAAGTTCTTTAGATAGCCACCCTGGCTTCTTTAGGCACCTTCCATGTTTCCGTCTCATTGGTATTGCCTGACGTTGTGCTTTTACTATCTCCCTCTTAACAAACTCCCAGCCATCATGAACTCCCTTTCCTTTTAGTATTACTGTCCATGGGATTTCACCCAGCACTTCCCTAAGTTTTATGAAGTCGGCTTTCTTAAAGTCAAGAAATTGAGTCCTAGTATGCTTGGCTGCTCCTTTCCGCTGTATAGTTAACTTCAGAAGAGCATGATCACTCGTGCCTAATGATCCTTCCACTTCTACCCCACTAACCAGGTCATCAACATTGGTTAGGACCAGATCTAAAATGGCTGTTCCTCTTGTTGCTTCTCCCACTTTCTGGACAATGAAGTTGTCTGCAAGGCCAGTGAGGAATCTGTTTGACCTTATGCTCTTGGCTGAGTTTGACATCCAACAAATATCCGGGTAATTGAAGTCCCCCATTACTACTATCTCCCTTCCTTTTGCATGCTTGGCCATCTGTTCCAGGAAGGCATCATCTATGTCCTCCGTTTGGCTTGGGGATCTATAGTAAACTCCCACAATGAGGTCTCTCTTATTCTTCTCTCCCTTAATTTTGACCCAAATGCTCTCACTTTGGCTTTGAGGTTCTAAATCTTGGATCTCTTCACAGGTATACACATCCCTGACATATAACGCCACTCCTCCCCCTTTTTTTCTGGTCTGTTTCTCTTAAATAGATTGTATCCCTCCATTATTACATTCCAATCATGGGACTTATCCCACCAGGTTTCAGTGATGCCTATTATGTCATATTTAGTTTGCTGTACCAAGAGCTCAAGCTCATCTTGTTTATTTCCCATGCTTTGCGCATTAGTGTACAGACATTGAAGTCCATTAATCATTCCCCCGTGTCTCTTATTTAAGGATTTTTTCCTCCCACCACTAGGTCTGCATGCTGTTTGCTCCATTTGGTCTATGACATTTGGATGATCATCTTCATCAATTGATAGACTCCTACCTTCAGGAGCACTGTCTCCCTCCCCCACATTAGTCAGTTTAAAGCCCTCCTGATGAGGTTTCTGAGATTTTTGGCAAAAACATTCCTCCCAACCGTTGTGAGGTGCAGCCCATCGCTTGCCAGAAGTCCATCTTCAAGAAACTGCAGTCCGTGATCTAAGAATCCAAACCGTTCCTGTTTACACCATTTGCGAAGCCAGCTGTTCACTTCCACTATTTTTCCCTCTCTCCCTGGGCCACGTCGTTCAACTGGGAGGACAGATGAGATGACAATTTGTGCATTTAGTTGCTTCAATTTCCTGCCGAGAGCCTCGTAGTCTCTTTAAGAAGAGATAAGATGGCGGCGGTTGCTGCACACTTACAAAAAGAAGAATCCTCCTTCCCCAGAGAGGCTGGAAATATTTTCTCGATTATAAAAAGGGGTGTATTTTACATAAAAATGCATTTGCTTGCATGGATATATTTTTACACATGGTTTGAAGAGAGAGTGACAGCAAATTTTGGGTGCCTGCTGGTTTTCCTAGGACCTGGGAAAACTGGTGGGGGGACATGGGGTGCACAGAAGAGCTGGAATAATTTCTATATAACTTACTGTTTATGAAGCACACCCTCACCAAATTGCATTTACTGGACACGTTCAAAACATCAGTTCATCAAAAGAGAATGAAGAGAAAACAGGGCCGTTATTCTTAACTTTGGATAGAAGCCCCGGACTTTCAGCAGTATGAGATGCCACCAAGAGAGAACTGTCTTTTAAAATAATCTAAGAGAGGGAAATATTGAAATAAAAGCTCCTGTTAAAACAAGATTGGGAGTCACATACCAGCGAATGATTGATTGAGAAGACAAGGACAGTTAATCAGAATTTGGAAACTGGAAATTAACAAGAAAGCAGAAAACAAATAAATATATTATCTCTGAGACCCAGGACATGAGGAATCATTCCTTTAAAATTTCTTTGAATTTGGAATATATAATTGGTAATATTGTATATGATTTCATTTGATTTGTTAATAATTGGAAGATTTTTATTGGAAAATTAATAAACATTATTTTAAAATAAATAAATAAACCCTATATCATCCTGATGGCATAGTCTGTAAAGCCTGGCATCTCTCACTACTTAGCGACTGAAGTGATGTGCAATGATACTTTGGATCATCTGGTTCAGTCAGGTATTCATTTTTATCTTTGCACATGAAATTTTCTCACTGCATTCGTTCTAATCAGTTCATACTCTTTGCAACCCATGAGGAGAAGAAGAAGAAGACGAATGCATATTTCCACAACGAAAACTTAAAAGCTGTTGTGGCCAACTTATTTGGTGCTGGCATGGAGACCACTTCTACCACACTGCGCTGGGGACTGTTACTAATGATGAAATATCCTGAAATTCAGAGTGAGTGCTTTTCATTGGGTTGGCTCCCATTATTCTGAGATATCTTAATTCCAGTTATATGTATCTATTAGAGAGATAAAATATTTATAATTTGCATATATATATATATATATATATATATATATATATATATATGCAGGTTTTGGTGTTCTCGGGTGTCTTCCCGTGTAAAAGTTGGGGTGTCTAGGCGACGTTTCGACGAGGTCTCACTCGTCATCTTCAGGCTGGTGCTTTCGGCTTCTTGTTACTGGAACAGCTCTGTTCCAGTAACAAGAAGCCGAAAGCACCAGCCTGAAGATGACGAGTGAGACCTCGTCGAAACGTCGCCTAGACACCCCAACTTTTACACGGGAAGACACCCGAGAACACCAAAACCTGCATTCCTGTACCCGTGAAAATCTACGAAAGCATATATATATATATATATATATATATATATTCACAACAATTGTTCAGTCATAAGCTTAACATTTCAACCTGGACTCCCTTCTCCCTCTTTCTGTGGTTCTTTACATTTTGTTTCATATTCCTGCATACTCCAGATTATCTCAACATATTATTTTAGATATATATTCCAATATATATCCCATAGATATATTGAAAATGCGGGTTTTTTCATTAATCCTGCCAATGTCTTAGTATGTTTACAGTTTGTTTGTAAATTCGTAATAAGCCATTTCCATTGCTTTCTAAAAATAAGTATAATCTTGTTCTCCGAGTACATTTTGCCATTTCTGCATAGTCCATTAATTTCTGTATCCATTCTTCTCTTGTCGGGACCTCTTCATCGTTCCATTTTTGAGCAAATATTAATCTTGCAGCAATGGTTGCATAAATAAATAAATTTGTATAAATTTATATAAATGGCATACATAAATAAATTTCTAAATATTCTATACTAAATAAATTTCTAGGTAGTTCTGATCTCATAATTTCCAAAAGAAAAGCTTATGGCTTTTTAAACATCATAAACATCTTTTCCAGTTCATCATATATCATTTCCCAGTAAACATATGAAAAATAGTACTTTCTTTCTCTTTATGTTTCCAGTACATATTCAGTTTGGATTTATACATTTCAGCCAATTTACTAGGTGTCAGGTACCATCTATGTAACATTTTCATATAGTTGTCTCTTAAACAATAACATTCTGTAAATTTTATATCCACATTTGATAAACTTTCCCATGCCTCCATTTCTATATTATTACTAATATCTATTGCCCAGTGTATCATTGAAGATTTCACTTGTTCGTCCTTTGTCTCCCATTCCAATAAGATCTTATACATTTTAGATATCACTTTAACATTACAGTTTAACAGGTCTCTTTCTAGTTGTGATTTTCATTCCCCAACCCCCCGCTTCATATCCCTTTTAAATACTTCATTCAAATGATGATATTGTAACCATGTTGTTAACATCTCTGATAAATCTTTAAAAAAAATTAGTTTACTGGTAAATTCTCCAAAGGTGAAAGCCATAGTGGTGTTTTGGTCTCCAAAAGGTTTTTATACTTATCCCATACTCTATACATTTTTTCCTGATTATATGGTTTGTAAAACCTTTATGTACTTTCACATTTTCATACCTCAAGTAAGCGTGCCAACCAAAAATATTATCATGAGCTTCCCAATCTGAAATATGTGGATTATTGAATAACAATCATTCCCTCAAACAGAATAGACAAGGTGCTTCATAATAAAATTTATTATGAAATTTATTTTTACTCTCATCATTCATATTTTTTACCAGGAGTTTGGTTTTATCTTTATTAATTTCAAGACCTGCTATTTCTAAAAAATAATAAAAAAATATTTTCCAATGCCTTTGGGATTGACTCTATTGGTTCCTCAACAAATATCACCACATTAACTGCAAAAGCTATATATTATGTTATACTATATTATATTCATATTGTCTCTTTCCCGCTTTTATTCCCGCTTATTTTTTTTATTACATCTTATTTGTGCCAAAACTTCGAAAACTGTTATAAACAATGAAGGTGACAGTGGGCAACCATGTCTACTTCCTTTAGTTATTTTACAATTCTCAGTCAATACATTACTTACTGATGGATCAATATATATTGAGTTAACTCCTTTTATAAAACTGTTTCCACAACCATATATTCCAAAGCCTTAAACATATAAAGTCCCAGCAGACATTGTCAAATGCTTTCTCAGAGCCTAAATGCTTTCTCTTTTAATACAGTTTTAAACATATTAGCTAATATGTCTACAAACAGTTTATAATCGTTATCCAACATCGAAATAGATCGATAGCTCTTAACCAGCTTTGGATCTCTATTTTGTTTATGAATCAATGTTATGTATACACTCTTCCGGGATTTGGGTAACTGTCCTGTATTCAAAGTTATAATCATAATATCTTTTAAAGGTTGCATTAGGTAATCTTGTAATTTTTTAATAATATACAGTATTGCTGAAACTCCATCAGGTCCGGGTGCCTTCCCTAATTTTGCCTGTAAAATTACTTGCTGTAAAACCATCATTGTGACAGGTCTATTCAGAAATGACATTTTAACTTTTGGTATCTTAAGCAGTCTGTTGTCTTCTAAAAATTTACCCATTTCTTCTACGTTACCTCATTTGCCTTAATATGGTGCTGTATAAAAACTCACGAATTGGTCTATTATTTTTTTCAGATTTTCCACAACTCTACTCCTACCTTTATTCTATCAATGCAGTTTTTTCTTCTTTCTTCGCCAAGCTAATAGTTTTCCTGTTTCTTGGAGGCATATAACTTCCAAGTTTAACTTCTTTACAACGTGATCAATTTTATTCATTTAGTCTTATTATTTTGCTTATTTACATTCCCAGTTAGAATTTTCAAAACCATCTTGTTCCATCGTTATTTCTCTTTCACCTCCACCTTGGTTGAATCTTCCTCTTCCTGTCCAAATGCTCTTTCTCCAGCTAATTTTCCACCATATTTTTTCCAAAATTTATATGGCTCGGTAGGATCACGAAATATTTGGTTTTTACCATTATATGTAAAAGATACCACTTCAGGATATTCCCAGCAGTGATATTTTAATAATCATCCTGGATGAAATTCCCTACATCAGTATATCAGTTACAGATAGGTTGTTGGCTAAAATGTTTTTCCTGTTTAAAAAATACCTGTGTCACATTCTAGAGACTAAGTATGTGAGTATATTCCCTATTTGTTTGTCTTTTGCTTCTACCTCTGTTGAATCTTCCTCTTCCTGTCCAGCTTCCAGTTCAAATGCTCTTTCTCCAGCTAACTCTTTCCCATATTTTCTCCAGAATTTGTCAAGGTCTGGAGGATCCCCAAATCTTTGTTTTTGACCTTTATGTGTAAAAGATACCACTTCAGAATATTCCCAGCAGTGATATTTTAATAATCATCCTGGATGCATATCTCTCTCTCAGTATATCAGGTTATTGTCTAAATTGTTTGTTTGTTCTTCTTAAAAATACATTTGTTAAATTCTAGAGATTAAATTTCTGAGCCTCTGGAATTATAGAACGAGTTTGTGGCAGTTTTATGCTTCAGAGATTAATTTTTAAGTCAAAGACATAATCTGAGCAGAAAAATGAATGCTTTTCTTTCTCCCCCCCCCCCCCAGTAAAGGTCCAAGAAGAAATTGCAAAGGTTGTTGGATCTTCTCAGCCAAGGATTGAACACCGAACAAAAATGCCTTATACAGATGCCGTGGTCCATGAGATCCAGCGGTTTGCCAATATCGCCCCAACCAACCTGCCACATGCCACGACTACAGATGTCACCCTTAATGGCTACTTCATTCCAAAGGTGATCCATTTCATTGAACTGCTGCCTACTAGTTACAATATATTTTAAGGCTATTCTGGAAGTAAGCCCCTTGGACTTCAGTGTGGGTGACATCTGTGCAGACTTGTATAGGATTGCACTGTAAGCTTTCAATCTACCCTTCGGAAGGTGTCAGGCATCAGCTTCAACCCATTAAACAGATCTCAGTGGGAAGGAGCACAAGGTTGGAAAAGAAACCATTTCTAGTGGGAGATCATGGTTTATACATTAAAGTTTGTCAAACTAAAGACATTTCTCAGATGTACACAAATCTCATTTCTCCTACACTAAATATTTATTGTACCGGAGGCATACACTTTATTTTAAAATGACTCTTGCTTTGCCTTTGCAGGGGACATACATCATACCATTGCTGTCCTCTGTGCTGCACGATGAATCTCAATGGGAGAAACCACATAAATTCTATCCTGAGCATTTTCTTAACTCTGAAGGGAAATTCGTAAAGAGAGATGCTTTCATGCCTTTCTCTGCAGGTAATTTTTTTACTTTTGTGTATACCTGCATAGTGTGTGCTTAGTCAATGGGATTTTTACATGCCTGGAATGTAGCCTATTGTGCAAAGGTAAGAATCACATCACTTGCTGTGGCCATTTCTGCCACTAGATCTGGTCACCATTGGTGTGCGGCCCCTGGAATGTTGCTCACCAGGGAATGTGCCCAACAGGCTGAAAAGACACCCCCCCCATTTTTCAGCACTGCAGGATGGCTCGTATTGGGAGTTCATAATTCTTTTAAGATGGGCACAGTGAGCTGTTATTTTATCTCTGCATTTTAGTCTGCTTTAAAGTATTTGGGATGTTAGTAAGCAACTGCTAAAGCCAGTTTCTCTGCTGCCTGTGTATCCTTACAGGTCGGAGAGCATGTTTAGGTGAGACTCTTGCCAAAACGGAGCTCTTCCTCTTCTTCACTAGTCTCCTGCAGAGATTCACCTTCCAGCCACCCCCAGGAACATCTCAAGAAGACCTGGACCTTACTCCTGCTGTTGGGCTTACAACACCACCCATGCCCCACCAGCTCTGTGCTCTGCCACGTTTCTAAGACTCACAAGCTCCTGGCTTGCTTTGCTTACCTGTGTGTGCAATGCAAGCCTTTCTTAAAACACACCTGTTCTGCAAGGGTATTTGGGTTGAGTAGCCTAGTGGTGGAATTGGTGCAAGCTTTGTCACAAACCTGAAGTGTTCCCCTTTAACTGCCATACTGCCGAATCCCGTGAAACTAATACTGGAGCATCTCTTAAATTAAACCTGGCCCTGAGTTCTTATGACACTTGAGGCATAGAGATCAATCAACAAATCTGGTTGCATGTATTCCCATGTTAACATATACTTTCAAAGATCTTGAAGCATCATATTCCCAGGTAGATGTGCAGAGAATTGTGATCAAGACGAAAAAGGGTCTGGAAACCGTGCCTTATGAGGAATGGTTGAGGAAGTTGGGTATGTTAACATCTGTGGCTGCAATGTATTCTGATTCTGAACTGTATTTGTTGTTGTCAGGCAATGGCTTTGTTTCCTCCGGGTTCTTTAAAAAGTGTGTAATAATAGATCTGGCAACTGGCTTTGCTTCTGGCATCTCCATGCTGCCAATTAATTCTGTGACTTTCTGCTTCTGGCTTAGAACAGGGACGTCCAACTCCCACGAGATTGCGATCTACTCATGGGGGGGGGGGACTGGAAGCCAAAGTTGTTGAGCTTCTTTTAGAGAGGAAAGTTCCATTTGGGGGGGTTAAGGCCAAGCTTGTTGAGCCTTTTTTATGGAGAAAATCTCCGTTATTAAGGGGGAAATGTTTACTAGAGTAAAGGGGAGAGGGGATTAGTCATTCACCAAAAGATCGCTATGGAAACAATTTGCCTCACAGTGAAAACTCCGTCTTCTGTTCCAGCGATCAGCTGAAAATGGTGGGCGGGGAGAGGGAAAGGGCCAGCTGCTCTGAGGCAAAAACAAAGGAAAAGGAGCCAGGAATCGACTAGAACCTCCCGGGTATCGATCAGTCGATCCCGATCAACCTGTTGGTTATCCCTGGAATAAAACAACCATCTTCCATCTTCTCTCTGTATCTGAATGAACTTTCTCTGAGAGTCTGGATTAGCTTAAGGCTTTCCTCATCAATGGAATTCTGACTGGTCACATGAAAAATGAAAATGGTGGAAATGTGTCAAATTCAAAATCAAAACTTCAATCTCCACAAGAGGAAAAACTCAAAACCTTCTCTGCCTAGCTTCTGCTCTGAGAGGGAAGAGGGATCTAATCCCTTTCACACTGGAGTCAGTGGAAGTCACCATGGTCTCACCAGGAAATAGAAAAAAATGCCTGCTTTGAATCTCTCTTCTCTCTTAAGAAACTCCAGCCACACCCACTATAATACTTTGAATTTTGTCTTCACTGGGCCCCATAACCTTTGTAGGAATGGATTTAGGCACTATGAGAGGATGTACTGCTTAGTTATTATCCTTCCTTGCTCACATTCTTGCATGTCATATGCTCTAATGTATACAAAGATATACCCTAATGCCACCATGTTCAACAGTTTCAAGATGAAAATGAATAAAAACTATGCTAAAAAGAAAAATATGTGTGAGTGTTTCAATGGGAGAAAGTAAAGGAAATACTGGACACAATACAGTCGTACCTAATTAAAGTGGAATAATTTCATCTGCAAATGATTTCACAATGGTGCTCTCTACTCCCAGTCTAACAAACAAACTAAGTTTACAGGTAATCATGAGTGATGAGTTCACTGCCTTCAAGAGCATTTTTTAAAAAAAATCATATTTATTAAAGTTTCCAAAACACAAAAAATGAAAATACAAAAAAGAAAAGAAAAAAATACAGCTTTGCAATTAAAACCTTACTTTCATTAACGTCTTTCTAGGACTCCCCCATCCTCCTCCCAATTGTATTCCCCTTTCATTAATTTGTTTCCACAAGCTCTTACTCCCAATTTAAAACTTAATTTGTTTAACCCACTATTTAATTTAATTACATAACCACTTTCCCTTTACATACCACCATCCCTCATCATTAAAAAAAAAAAAATTCCCCCAAGGTCCACCCCAATTTCCTTCCACGAATTCCCTTTTTTAATAAACACGTCCAATCAAAGTAAAAGATATAAAAAAATTCAAAAAATAGTTGCACACCCTTTGGATTCCAAATCTCCCCCCCTCCCCAGTTTCGATTCCCCATATCCATCAGTCTGTCTATTGTCAGCCTGGAGATCTCAAATCCATAGCCGGTTTTTTCCCCAGTTCCACCTTGCCGGGTTTTTCCCCCCTTTTTTTAATAATGTTTAACTTCAGACGTCCAGTCTTAAAGAGGCCCCACAACGGGCCTTTAATTTCCTTGGTCTTTCACAATAATATGACTCCTCCCTTGTTCTTTCCAAGTCGTTATCAGTCCTTTGTTCTTTTTTCTCACTTTCTCAGGTTTCTTTTCCTGTTCCGCTGCTAAAACATTCTAATTCAGAAATTTGGTACCTCTACAGAAGTTGTTGTTAGTTCAGGAACAAAAACTTACGTCCAGTCCCTTCCATTCTTCAATAGATAGTTCTATTGTCTCCTTTAATATAAATACCTCTGTAGACAAAATACTGTTTCGTTTTTGCAGCTTTCCCAGAAGATAACAAGTCCTGTACGATTCCAATAGTATTTTTCCACTTACGACCGTTCTTGTAATGTCCCGAAACCCCTCTAGGGGGATTATAGTAACTTTGTTTCCTCTAATCCAAAAGTCAGATTGTTATTCCTTATTTTCGACAGTTTATATCCAAATTGTAACAAAACTAACCAGCAAAGTCCTCATAGCAAAGTCCTCTTTATATTCTCCAACTTTGACAGCTATTTGACAGCTGTCAAAGTCTCCGTCTCTCTTCACCAGGCTCTCTCGCGGATCACCCCGGTTCCCGGGGGGTTGCACTTTCATTTTCACCATCCACTCTTCTCCTCCAGCACAGTTCTTATAATTTCCCATCGTGGAATTAATAATTTTTATCGGTAAAGAGCTCCTTTCTCAACCTTGGTTGCCAAATCCTTGTTTTAGAATGTTTACAATAGGGGGGGCTGACTTCCTTTTTGGATCTCCCCCGCTCGTGCCGAATCCGAAAAAAATATATTTTTTTTTCTCCTTTTAAGTCCGATTTCCAAATTACTCACGGGTTGTTGTTTATAGTCCAAATTTTCAATAGAAGAAGTCAGCGCTCTCCGTCGAATGGCATGCGGCTTCGCTCGGCAGGGAAAGCAGAGGACTCACAGCACCACGCCGCTCCCCGGCACCCGTTCCGTAGCCTTTAAAAAGGCTCCTTCACGAGTCGGGAGGGCACTAACGGTGCCCGCCGAGTCAACCATGTCCACGGGCTCCGTGCCCGTGGTTTTTGAGGGTCCCCGCGTCGCCGGCGCGGTAGGACCCAACCCCTGCTGAGCAGGCTCCCTCCGAAGCTCGGAGGGAGTCCGCCATTCGGTGATGGCACCAACCCGGAAGTCTGCCTTCAAGAGCATTTTAATCTGTTCTGGAAAGCATTAGTTTCTGCAAGTAAGCACCAACCACTTGAGTAAACATTAAACTGAAAGGCATATCATCCAATGTACAGCTTTGAATAGTTATGGAGAAGAAGAAAAATCAGAGGGATTGTTTAATGATTTGCTAGAAACATTATGTAACATAATATATGGGCTGCTCATTGCAGTTGGTAGACACTGTTGTTGACCAAACTGAACTGTAGCTTTGTTGTTCTCGAATAAGTCTTTTAGACAGTGTTAGCCTTTTGGTTGCCAGGTTTTTATATGGAGGTTTTTGCTTGTTTTCTGTTTGGCTCTGGATGCCTCCAGGCCTTGGAGCTCTGCTCAGGGGCGGAGCAAGGGGGTGCATTGGGGGCGGGCCACACCGGGTGACATCGTGAGGGAGGGTGACACCCTGCATGTGTATCCCTGCCCGCGACTCCCAAGCCTACACCTGTCGGGGCCGCTGGCAAAGTGGCAAAGCTCCCCCCTTCCCCCGGCTCACTGTAGGCTTGGGAGTCATGGGCGGGTTGCCCTGTCATCCAGGAAAAAGCCTTGCTCCACAGATCGCCCGCTTGTCCACTTGGTGCTTCGCTTCCTTCCTGCTCGGGCTGCTGGTGGAGGCGAGGGGCGGGCCAGGGAGGGGCATCGGTGGGCCACGAGAAGCACCCCCTCCCATCCCCCCGCCAGCTGGTGGCCGGCCTCCTTCCCTCGCCCCTTCCTGGCTCTTTTGCACGCACGGAGCAAGAACCACACCCCCGCGCCTGTAAAACAGGCTCTCTCTAACATTCCAGAGAAACCAAAAAGAAAAGTCACTGTTTTGAGCTCGTCTCTTTTATGGATGCAACAATTAGTTTTGGATACAACCATTGGGGATTGCACCAGCAGGGTAGAAAAACGCCTTTGCAATGCTTTGTTCTGATGCGTGGCCTCGCCTTTAATGAAATAATGCGCCCCCCTCCCAGCCATGGTACGTTTGCGTTGACGTACAGTAGTAGCTGTCTGAAATAAAACCAAAGGGCAATTCGCTGCTTGGCTACAATTTTGCAAATACAACTAAGGTTGTTGCTCTTTTGTAGTTCTCCCATTGCCAGACGGATTCGATATTTGCAGGCCTCAATTTTGTTCTGTTCCTACGTTATGACTCTTCCACTGCTGCTCCTGCAGAGTAGGTGACTTTATTCATGGAGATCCTGCTACGGTTTTTCTCTTCTTTTCTTAGAATAAGGCAGCAGCCAGCGGACCGGCTTTGTACTGAACCTTTTGTGAATATCTATTATCGTTGGTGAACAGTGAAGGGATCCTGTGCAGACATAGATGGAAATCAGATAAATATCAGAGGGTTGTGATTGTTCTCTCTCTCATTACAGTAAATCACAGTTTTAATAAAATAATGCCGTATCAATCTGAATTGGAGCTTTTGATTAAGAGTGCAGATGCACAGATCACTTTTTAAGCCTGGGTGTTCCACGATTTCGAAACAAAACCCCAGAGAATTCTCTACCTCCAAGGAAAAAAAAACCCTCCAACAAAACAGATCTCTAAATATGAGTAACACATGTGCATTTATTTTGAAAATAATTGTCAGAGAACTCTTTGCTGCTAGTTACATGAAGTTGGCGCCCTGCACATCCCGAGCCGAGGGAGGTGGCGAGGAGCCGTGGCTGTGCCCTCGCCCCCCAACATGCACGTGATTCAGGCCGAGCGCTGCACCCCATTTGGGATCGGGGCTGGTGGGCCAGGCTAGGTGCAGTGTCGGAGCTGACTGAGCCCCCTGGCCATGTGCAGTCTACCTGTACAGTGGGTAGGGGGCAGAAGGGGGCTTCAGACCCCCAATAAAATGTTTGAGGGGCCGAGATCCCCAAAGTTGATGGGCACTGCCATTCAAATGGGGGGGGTGCACTGCATCATGAACGATTATACGGGCAGGGCTTACCTCCCCCCATATTTCCAGTTATAGATAGGTAGCCGTGTTGGTCTGCCATAGTCAAAACAAAAAAATTCCTTCCAGTAGCACCTTAAAGACCAACTAAGTTAGTTCTTGGTATGAGCTTTCGTGTGCATGCACACTTCTTCAGATACACTGAAACAGAAGTTGCCAGATCCTTCTATATAGTGAGAAGGTGGGGAGGGGTATTACTCAGAAGGGTGGTGGGAATGGGTGATTGGCAGATAGGTGAGCCTGTTGACGACTCTTAACGACTGCAATAGGTCTTACAGGAAAAAGCAAGGGGTGAGAAGGTGAAAAATGGCTTTGTCATGTATAATGAAATAAGAATCCAATGTCTTTGTTCAGACCAGGTCTCTCCATAGTTTTAAGTTTGGTAATGAGTTGCAATTCAGCAGCTTCTCTTTCCAGTCTATTTCTGAAATTCCTTTGTAGTAAAACAGCTACTTTGAGATCTTGTATAAAATGTCCTGGGAGATTGAAGTGTTCTCCTACTGCTTTCTCTGTCTTGTGATTCTTGATGTCAGATTTATGTCCGTTTATTCTTTGGCGTAAGGTTTGGCCTGTTTGTCCAATATAGAGAGCTGAAGGACACTGTTGGCATTTGATGGCATACACAATGTTAGACGATGAGCAATTAAACAGTCCCGAGATGGTATGTGTGATGTTGTTGGGGCCATATTATATTCAAGTTGGCACCCTGGTAGTGGCCTTTTTAATGAGACACTGGCGATCTTTTTTCAGGGATGGGGAGGGGTCTGTCTGAGGTGCAAAAGACCCCCACGAGTCTCATCCCCTTAAGGAGGGCGTCTGCCAAGGATTTTATTCTGGCCTCTGCTTCAGATGCGAGGGGGGCGAGACGATCCTGCCAGGGGGTGGCTGTATACGCGTGTAAACAGGGGGTGGGAACCATGGGGCAGGGTCCCCCTCGGGGCAAAAATGTGCTGGCACCTGTCCAGGTCAGCCTGGAAGTCTGAGACCCGGGAGTGCCTCTGTCGGTCAAGGCAGGCAATATGGAGATGGTTCCAGTGGCCTGACTTGACCTAGCAGTTTCCAGCGCTCGCGAGGAATTCGGTGCTGGGACCATTGGCTGTGCACAGCTCACTGCCTTAAGCACCTGTGCTCCTTTGTCAGAAA